TCATGCCCCCTCTCAGTAGCGTTCGCTGCCGATGCGTTTCGCGCGGCTTTGACACCCAGTGTGCGTCGGGGTCTCGAGTGGTTCGATTTGCACGACCGGGATTGCCTTCTCGTGTCAGAGCGCATGCCATCAGACGTGCCCCTGTGCGTGAGTTCGTGCACCTGCCAGGCTTTGGACCCCTGACCCCCCCCGCTGCTCTGCTACAAGGAAGGGTGGCCCCTTGCCAGAGCGACCTCTGGTGTGCGGCTTCGGGGGGACGCGGGAGGGCAATCGTGCGGGTTGCTGCCGTCGCATTGCACGCAACGACATGCAAACCGTTCACGAAAGGGCACTCTTGCTTGGGGTCCTTCCGCGTGGTTGGCCGACCTCAGGCCGAGTCATGCCCCCTCCCAGATATCCGACGATGTGTTTTTCTCGACTGCGCAGCCTCGGAGCTCCCGACCGCTTTGCCAGAGGGACTCTATTGTTAAGCCGGGCCTGTCCCTCGACAGGAGGAATATTCAAAGATAGTAAGACATGGTCTGGGGACGACTTTTCCATTTTTTTTGTGTTTTTGCTTTTTTTTTTTTGTGTTTTTTATCATGATTTTTGGGGTATTTTTTAAAGATATTTTCAATCCCAAGTCCGCCTGCGTGGCCCCCCCTGGCGCCCAGAGGCCGAGATCGAGGGAGCGCGCCGGGACCGAACAAAAGCAATCCGCCGGTTCTTGCCCTCTTCCTTGGCGGCGCGCAGAGGGGGGGGTAGGGGAAGGGGGGAGGGCTTCTCAGAAGGGGGCTGCTGCTCAGAAGGCGCCGGCCTTACATGTATAGAGAAGGCCCGCGCCTTCTCTATACCGCCACTCTTCGGAGCCCGCGCAGGGCCACTCCTGCGTGCAGCCGACTCGGGGCGGCCGCCGGGCCAATGGAGCCCGTGGGCAGCCGCTCTGCCGAATTGTGCTAGACCATTGGCCCATCAGGGTTGGGTTTCTTGCGAGGCCCGCGCCTTCTAAGAAGCAGGGGTGCTTCTAAGAAGCCTTCCCCCCTCCCCCTACCCCCCTCTGCGCGTGGCCGACTTCGCCCCCCCGCGAGGCCGCGTTAGCGTATGCGGCCGGTGCATGTTCTCACCGTCTGATTGGAGGCAAGGGTTGCAGTCTCACCCAGAATGCCCATGCGCACTGCCAAGCTCGCCCATGTCAAGAGTGCCCCTGGCTTGCAAGGATGAGCTCATAAGGCTTCAGAGCCTGGCATGCGCACCGTCATGCTTGCACACTGCAAGCCCCCGATGCGCCTCTGGGGCATTGCCCAGAGGCACTGTGGGAGCCTCGCCCATTTCAATCGGTCTGCCTAGGCCGATGGGCCTGTTTTCTGCCAACACCACCATAAGTTTGAGGGGGGAAGGAGGAGGAGGAGGAGGAGGAGGAGGAGGAGGAGGAGGAGGAGGAGGAGGAGGAGGAGTAGGAGGAGGAGGAGGAGGAGGAGGAGGAGGAGGAGGAGGAGGAGGAGGAGGAGGAGGAGGAGGAGGAGGAGGAGGAGGAGGAGGAGGAGGAGGAGGAGGAGGAGGAGGAGCTCCTCCCCCTCCTGCTTATGGTGGTGGCGGTGGCAAACAGGCCCACCACAGGCGCGCTTCCGTGCGCTGCCCGGGGCCCGGCCCGCGGCGGCTGGTCAGCAGGCAGCCGCGCTTCGCTTCGCGGCCCTCCGCGCGAGGAGGCGAGCGGCGAGGGGCCCGCCGCCGAGCCGTTCGGCCCGGAGGTGCGCTTCGTCGCGCTGCAGTTTGTGGAGCTGGGCGGCCCCCCGCCCCGTCCTCTGGTCGGTATCGTTGAACCAATCCCCATCCCCATCCCCATCCCCTTCGAGACCCCATCAAATTACCACCCCAGTTGGGGATACACCCCTCGAAACCCGAAGGGAACGGCCTATATCCCCATCTAGGGGGGTAAATCGGCCAGTGGGGCCCAGGCCACGTCGCTGGGGATGGGGATCGGTTAAAACGATACTCATCTGGGGCCTTCACCACCCACCAACCCACCCCAACCCAATCCGAAGGCCTCAATTTACCTTCCATTTCCAGTGTGGGGGGGTCGGGGAACATCGAAGAAACACATGGACCCCCCCCCCAACCCGAAATTCGGGTCAAATTCGGGTCTTCGGGTTGGGTTGGGATGGTCTGGTAGGTAGTCAGTCCTCTGGGAGGAGGAGGAGGAGGAGGAGGAGGAGGAGGAGAGGAGGAGGAGGAGGAGGAGGAGGAGGAGGAGAGGAGGAGGAGGGAGGAGGAGGGGAGGAGGAGGAGGAGGAGGAGGGAGGAGGAGGAGGAGGACGAAGACGAGGACGAGGACGAGGACGAGGAGGAGGAGGGGAGGGGGAGGGGAGGGGGAGGAGGAGGAGAGAGGAGGAGGAGGGGAGGGGAGGAGGGAGGGGGAGGAGGAGGAGAAGGGGAGCAGAGGGAGGAGGAGGGAGGAGGAGGAGGAGAAGGAGAATAGGCACGAGGGGGAGGGGGTGGGCGTGGGGGCCCCTCCTCCATTTGCGTCGCCTCCTCCTCCTCCTCCTCCTCCTCCTCCTCGTCCTCCTGCTCCTCCCCCCCTCCTTCCCCTGGTCCTCCTGCATCTCCTGCTGGTGCTGGTGCTGGTGCTGGTGCTGCTGCCGCTGCTGCTGCTCCTCCTGCTCCTCCTCCTGCCACTCATCCTCCTGCTCCACCTCTCCCCCCTGCCCTCACCCATCACCCCCTCTCCTCCTCCTCCTCCTCCTCCTCCTCCTCCTCCTCCTCCTCCTGCTCCTCCTCCTCCCCCTCCTGCTCTTGCTCCTCCTCCTGCTCCTACTCCTGCACCTCCTGCTTTGATTCTGGTCCTCGTCCCCTGCCCTCCTCGGGCCTCCTCCTCCTCCTCCTCCTCCTCCTCCTCCTCCTCCTCCTCCTCCTCCTCCTCCTCCTCCTCCTCCTCCTCCTCCTCCTCCTCCCCCTCCTGCTCCCCTCCTCCTGCTCTTCCTGCTCCTGGACGTGGGGTCCTGGGGCCGCACTCTCGGAGCCGAGGAGGGGTCCAGGGATCGTGGAGGATTCCAGGGGCCGAAGATGGGTCTACAGGCGTCAACGCGGGTCCCCGGAGCTAGGGGTCCAAAAGCCCAGGGTCCAGAATCCATCGAGGGCGGACGAGAAGGAGGAGGAGGACGAGGAGGAGGAGGAGGAGGAGGAGGCGGAAGAGGCCAGTGAGGAGACGAAGGCGAACGAGGACGAGGGCGAGCACGAAGACAAAGGGCGAGGAGGAGGCCGACAACGATGACGAGTAGGGGGGGAGTCCGGGCAGTTCTCTGTTGGGCCTCGGGTTTCGTTCCCCACTCCCTCTGGTGGATTTACCGCTCCGGTTAGGTCTGTATCGGTCTGATTCGGCCCCATTCGGTCCACGAGCGATCTTGGTTCGTCTCGGTTCGGGTCTCTACCGCGACCATTCCGGTTCGTTTCGGGTTGGGTTGACGCTGGTTCGCGGCCGTTCGATTCAGCCTGGTTCCGTCCAGGCAGTTCTGGAGCCTTCCTGCAATGAAACACTGCGACGGAGTTACGCCAGGAACAAGGCAGCGCAGTACGATATTTCCAAGGCTCCAGGAGGGTCGACCGTCAGGACCCTCTGGAACGAGATCCGCTGTCGATGGCACTGCTTGCTATGGCATTCTTTGGCGCCATGATGCCGTGACTAGAACCTAATCGCGCGTAGCGCGCGTGGTTCCAGTATCTCTCTCTCTCTATATATATATATATATAGCATAGCGTTTGAAAATACCGATGCTGGTGGTTATCAAGCGCAACAGATCAGAGCATCCAGTGAGGATAATCCGCCTGTCGTCTTTCACTGGCTGATCCGGCGTTGGGTCCTGATAGTCGAAGCCAGTTTCGATCGGGCGATGTGCGCTGTTTGGGGATTACGTACGAGTTAGGCAGTCGATGTGTCGCTACTGATGTTGGCTGAGACTGCCGGATTTTCCGTGACGGTCACACGTACAATTTTAAAATGTTCTGAGGCCTGCTATTTGGACACGGTTCGGACGGTCTCGAAAGGGATCTGTTGTTTGTCTGTCTTGCATCATCCTGGAATTCATGAGGAAATTGACAATCAATCTCAACGGATCTCAGCATCTAGTGAGGATGATCTACGTGTTTTCTTTTCCTGGCTGATCCCGCGTTGGGTCCTGAGAGTCAGAACTAGCTTTGATCAGGCGATGCATGCTGTTTGGGGATCAAGTGCGAGTTAGGTAATTGATGTGTTGCGAATGATGACACCTGAGAGTACCAGATCTTCCGTGATGGTCGCAGGTACATCATTAATTAATACAATTTGAGGTTTGCTGCTTGGACACGGAACGAACAGTTTCTAAGGGATCTGTGGTTCGTCCGTCTTGTGTCACGTTGGAAATGATGAGACGATTGATTATCCAACTCAACAGATATGAGCATTCAGTTGGGATGCTTTGCCTGTCTTCGCCTGTGTTCTTTTCCTAGCTGATCTAGAGTTGGGTTTTCAGAGTCGCAGCTTGTGTCGATGAGGTTATGTGGGGTCAGTGGTCATTTGAAGTGATGGCTAGTTTGTTTTGCTGCTGGATCTGTCTTGATAGCCACGCTCAGATGGAGCATCTTCTGGATCGCGGAATATGCGAGAGCGCACGCAGCAGGATTTGTGGAGGTCTGCGGTTGGCTCACAGTGGTGCCACTTGCGGTTATCGTTCGCGTAATCGCCAAAGAAGAGCGTGCTCTCGCAGCACGGCGTTGGAACATATCGGTGCTAGTCGTTATCGAGCTCAACACATCCCAGCATCCAGTGAGGATAATCCGCCTGTGTTCTTTCCCTGGCAGGTCCAGCGCTAGGTCCTGATAGTCAAGGCCAGTTTCGACCAGGCGATGTATGTTGTTTTGGGATTGAGTGCGAGCTAGATGGTCGATGTGTTGCTAATGATGGCAGCTGAGACTGCCGGATTTTCCGTGACGGTCACACGTACAATTTTAAAATGTTCAGAGGCCTGCTGTTTGGACACGGTCCGAACGATTTCGAAGGGATCCGTTGTTCGTCCGTCTTGCGTCACGTTGGAAACGATGAGGAAATTGATTATCAAGCTCAACAGATCTGAGCATCTAATGAGGATACTCTACATGTCTTTTTTTCCTGGCTGATCCCGCGTTGGGTCTTGAGAGTCAGGACCATCTTAGTTAGGTAGTCGATGTGTTGCCAGTGATGGCAGCTGAGACTGCCGGATTTTCCGTGACGGTCACACGTACAACCAGAGTATTTTCTGAGGCCTGCTGTTTGGACACGGTCCGAACGGTTTTTAAGGGATTTGTTGTTCGTCCGTTTTGCATCACGTTGGAAATGATGAGGGCATTGATTATCAAGCTCAACAGATCTGAGCATCTTGTCAGGATGCTCTACTTGTCTTCTTTGGTCTTCTTTGGTCTTCTTTGGAGAAGCGGCTCCCACGACCCTTCGCTTTCTCGTATTCTGGCCCCTCTGTGGGCGTTCTTGGACACCTTTTGGGGCCTCTCGGGCGCCTCCTGGGCCAACATACAGCCCTCTTGGCGGCCTCTTGGACAGTCTTGGAACGATCTCGGGGGCCTCTTGGGTCGTCTTGGAGTTTTGGAAGCTCGACAAGGCGAGACTCACCCGAACACATGAAACATCTGACTGGTTTTAGCATCCTGGCGCTCTCTTGTGGGCCCTTTTTCATGTTGGGGCGTCTTGGGGGCCTCGTTGGATCGTCAGACGTACGTCTTGGGCGTCTTGGAGCGTTCTTGGGCTGTGTCGGGATCCTCTTAGACTTTCGTGTGGCCCCTTTCGAGACCCTCTTGGCCAGTGTTGGCGCTCTCCGGTCTCTGGTCTATGTGACTGTCACATGGAAAGCCACGAGAGTCACGCGACGAGCCACATGAAGTCCGCCCTTGAGAGACACGGGGCTCTTAAACGCGTGCTGCCAGTAGTCGGTACGTATGGTTCTAAGGGACTTGAATACGTTACACTGAGTGCCTAGCCGCACGGTGGCAGTTTTAGGACGCGCAGATTCCGTCAGTTTGGGCTTATCTTCCTTTTCGCTGGATTTAGATCTGGGTGAACTTGAGGGTCGTCGCGCTCGTGAGACAAGATACTGTCTTGAGCTGCTAGCGTTTCGCTTGCTCCAGATGGTGCTTACAGTTGTTTGGGCTACCAGTCAATATGATGGCATGGCCTTATGTGTGTGTGTGTCCACACGCGAGTCCACACTTGCACGTTTATACAACGTGCTTGTGATACTGTACGTGTATATGTGTGCGCATGGAGTTGCGCGCTTCTACATGTGCGAATCAAACTGGAAAGGGGCAGGACGTACTTGCAAACTCTCTTTGACGGGCTCAGTAGTGGACCCACCTAGTATTACGTTGGACGATTATCAAGCTCAACAGATCTGAGCGTCAACTGATGATAATCGACTTGTCTTCTTTCCCGGTCCGATCCAGAGGTGGGTCCTAGGAGTCGTATGTGGGTGAGACGGCAAGAGCTGTCATGGTGGTCACGCGTGCAACTTTAACTTCCTCTCTGAGGCCGATTAGGCGGTCCTTGGGAAAGTCGATCCGCGCTCGATTTTGACCTCGTTGCCGGATATTGCATGACGCTGGTCAGTTGACATTTGATATCGCCTGAAGCGCGGGAGAGGGGTGAGCGTGCGAAGTCGGAGTTCGTGGAGGTGGGCGGTTGGATCATCGTGGTTCCGCTCGCAAGACGTTGGAAATCATGATGCTAGCGATTATTTCAGCTCAACAGATCTGAGCATCCAGTGATGATAATTGGTCTGTCTTCTTTCCCTGTCTGACCAAACGGTGGGTCCTGGGAGTCGAATGTGGTGTCGATTGTGTGTGTGTGTACGTGTATGTGTGTGTGTGTGTGTGTGTGTGTGTGTGTGTGTGTGTGTGTGTGTGTGTGTGGGGTTCCAGTAGTTTGGGACCTGGCGCCAATTCGGACTGGTTGCCAATGAGGACAACTGAGACGGCCAGAAGTGTCATGATGGTCACACGTACAACTTTAATTTCCTCTCTGAGGCGTGGAAGAGGCGAGGGCGTGCCCAGCAGGAAGTGTGCGGGTTGGCGGTTTGCTCACCGTGCTGTTACCCGCCTGGATGCCCCCGCTCACCGTGCTGTTACCCCCCTGGATGCCCCCCTCGATGTTGATCCCATTGCCTCGATATTGATCCCATTGCCTGATATTTCATGGCGGTTGCCAGTACACTTTTGTTGAGATAGCCTGAGGCACGGGAGAGGGGAGGGCGTACGCAGGAGGATTTTGTTGAGGCCACCGGTTGGATCCCCTCGGTCCACTCGGAAGATATTGGAAATGATGAGACTAACGATTATCAAGCTCAGCAGATCTGAGCATCCAGTGATGATAATTGGCCTGTCTTCTTTACCCGTCTGATCCAACGGTGGGCCCTAGGAGTCGTATTGTGTGATTTTGAGTAGTTTGGGATTGGGTGCCACTTCGGACTGGTTGCCAACGAGGACCACTGAGACGCCCATAGATGTCATGGTGGTCACACGTGCAACTTTATTTTCCTCTGGGAGGCGTGGAAGAGGCGAGGACGTGCCCAGCAAGTGTGCGGGTCGGCTGTTGGCTCATTGTGCTGTTACCCGCCTTGATGCCCCCACGTGTAACGCCGAGCAGGCGATCCCATGTAATGTCGAGTCGCGCTCGATTTTGACCTCGTTGCCCGATATTTCATGTCGGTTATCAGGATACCTTTGATCTCTAATGGCCTTCGGCCCATACCAGTCCGATCCAGAGGTGGGTCCTAGGAGTCGTGTGTGGGTGAGACGGCTGGAGATGTCATGATGGTCACGCGTGCAACTTTATATACCTTCCTCTCTGAGGCCTGGAAGAGGTGAGGGCGTGCTCAGCAGGAAGTGTGCGGGTCGGCGGTTTGCTCACCGTGCTGTTACCGGCCTGGATGTCCCCACGTGTAACGCCGATTAGGCGGTCCTTGGGAAAGTCGATCCGCGCTCGATTTTGACGTCGTTGCCGGATATTTCATGACGCTGGTCAGTTGACATTTGATATCGCCTGAAGCGCGGGAGAGGGGAGAGCGTGCGCAGCAAGATTTTGTGGAGGTGGGCGGTTGGATCACCGTGGTTCCGCTCGCAAGACGTTGGACATGATGAGACTAACGATTATCAAGCTCAACAGATCTGAGCATCCAGTGATGATAATCGGCCTGTCTTCTTTCCCCGTCTGATCCAACGGTGGGTCCTGGGACTCGCAAGTGGTGTCGACTGTGACTTTGCAGGAAGTGTGCGGGTCGCCAGTTGGCTCACCGTGCTGTTACCCGCCTGGTTGTCCCCACGTGTAACGCCGATTAGGTGGTCCTTGGGAAAGTCGAGCCGCGCTCGATGTTGACCTCGTTGCCGTGGATACTGCGTGACGGTTATCAGTACACGCTTGAAATTGCCTGAGACGCTGGAGAGGGGGGAGCGTGCGAAGCAGGATTTCGTGGAGGTCGGCGGTTGGATCGCCGTGGTTCCACTCGCAAGACGTTGGAAATGATGATGCTAACGATTATCAAGCTCAACAGATCTGAGCATCCAGTGATGATAATCGGCCTGTCTTCTTTCCCCGTCTGATCCAACGGTGGGCCCTGGGAGTTGCAGGTGGTGTTGATTGTGTGATTTTGAATAATTTGGGACTGGGGGCCAACTCGAACTGGTTGCCAATGAGGACCACTGAGATGGCCAGAGGTGCCATGGTGGTCACACGTACACGTTTGACTTCCTCTCTTAGCCGTGGAAGAGGTAAGGGCGTGCCCAGCAGGAAGTGTGTGGGTCGGCGGTTGGTTTATTGTGTTGTCGCTCGGAAGAACTAGTGTCCTTCGGTCCATCTCATCACCATGCTCGGGTTGTGAATAAGAGGCCTCTTGGATCCCCGATGAGGCCTCATGGAAGCCCGGCCTCTTGGCCTGTTGAGGGCCTTTGTGAGCCCTCCTCGGGCCTTTTGACAGCCTCTAGGGGCCCCTTCTGTCTCTGGGGCTATCTTAGGGTGGAGGGGAGGGCTCGATGTTCTCTCGTCGGCCGACAACTTGTTTCGGCGAAGAGGATCGGCCGACAACAGTAATGGAGCAGCGCCACCCAGGTCCGGAAGTATGTAGAGGGGGGGGTAATCCCAGTTCCTTCTCCTATGGGCGTTTAGAGCGATTTTCCTCAAACCAACTTTTGCCCGTACCCCATCTTCACCCACTGGCCGTCGAAAGTAGTTGTTTTCAGATCACCATGTCCCAATCTGCTTTGGGCGCCTTCCTGACTCAAACATCGAGCAGTCTTCTCTCCTCCGCTCCACGGGGCGGGCGGGAACCCACTTTGCTTACAATTTCTTCCTATTTCTTAGGTTTCTACCCACGTCTTCCGACCGATGGCAGGCCGGCAGACAGACCCAGCTGAAGATGTATTGATGATATTGTTGTGTTTTTGAGCGGTAAAGGCATCGATGTCTCACCCAACCAGAAGAGAAGATGCAATTGTCGCTGAGGCGTGGCATGACTTTGAGGTTGCATTCTGTTCGAGCGGAGACTCCCGAGTGCTGCGGCGCTGACCACCCGCCCTTCGTGTCCAGGGCTTGCTCGACGTGGTGTCCTTTGGTCTGTCCTTTCTTGATCGTGCGAATAATGGTATAACATTTTTTTTCCGCCGTCGGGGACGCCTGCCCCTCGGCGGCTGGAAAGTTTCTGCCCCGACGTGCCACCGCAGGGGCCTAAACTTTCCAGCCGCCTTGGGGCCAGCGTCCTTGACGGCGGAAAAGCTGAGTTGTACCGTTCTTTGCCCCTTCAGTTCTTCCGACATTTGGGTACGTCTCCCCGACAGGTGGGGACCACCTGGACCGCCTCCTCCGCTTCGGCGCCTCCGGGGGCGACCTGGGTGCTCTGCGCGCGTCCGAGGCCCCCCCCGCCACCCCGGATGCTCCTCTGCGCGGAGAGCCCGGGCCGTTTCTGTGGGCGTCACGCCGTGCCAGCGCATCGGCGACCTGCAGCGCGGGTGCTCGAGGTCCCAGATCTCCGACGATCTGATCGCGAAGGCCTTACGGCGGGTGCCGCCGACTCTGAAGGGGGATGACGACGACGACTGCGACGACGCCGATGCCGACGCCGACGCCGACGCCGACGCCAGAGATGACGCCGACGCCGACGCCGACGCCAGAGATGACGCCGACGCCGACGCCGACGCCGCCGCCGCCGCCCCCCACGCCGACGCCGCCGCTGCCGACGCTGACGACGGCGACGACTAAAGACACCCGAAACTTCTGAAGATCATCCAGTTTACCCTTTTGGGGTTGTCTTGGGGGTGCTCCTGGGGCTCTCTTGGGCCTCTTGGGGGCCTCTTGGGGGCCTCTTGGGGGCTTCTTGGGCACCTCTTGGAAGGCTCGAAATGTCGGCTAGGATTTCTCACACTGGGCGTTTTTTCTTTGAATTCGGCCTCCTGGGCCCATCATCGGGCCCCGGGGCCATCAACAATGCGTCTGGGGCGAAAGACTGGCCCTGGGGAAGGGGCCGGTACCTTATGTGAGCCGCGCAAGGAGCAAAAATCACATCGTCGGATGTCTGGGGTTGGATGCCGCCAGTCGCCCGACGCTTCTGCGCGGAGCCCAGCTCTCGGCCACCCCGTGCGTGCGGTGGGCTTTCGCGTCGTGTCGACGCGGCGCCGATCGCTGCGCGGGCGCTCGAGCTCTTTCCAAGCCTGTTTTTTCTGGACAGCCCTCTCTCGGGAAGGGCCTTCCCCTGCCGCAGGCAGGGTTCACCGGACAAGTCTTCCCGAGGAGGGGGTGCGCCCTTCCTGAGGAATGGCGTTTCGACGAGTGCAGAGTGCACAGTTGGTTTTCCTCTGCCCCCAGCTTGGGCGTTCAAGATTTAGGACGCCGCCAGAGGCCCGGGATCGGCCGATGTCGAGCGATTGGAGCTATCGGGAAGCCGCGATCGCTCAGGGCTGAACGATCCAACGCCACAGTCAAACGCCGAAGTCGTCACGACATGCGTCTGCCGCAGCCAAGCGCTCCTGCTGCCAGGCTCCCTTCTCCTTTGCCTCTATCTTCGCAGGCATCGGCGCGTCGACACAGTCCACGCGGCTGGTTTGTCGCCCTGTTTGGCCCCGGGAGGACGGTTTCGGGCCTCGGGACCGTCAAGCAAAACCCAGGATGCGAAGCCAGCTTGTGCAGAATGGGTCGAGAGGTGCGGGGGCCGGCTCACCCAACGCAATTCGAAGCGCCGTACACCTTAGGCGATGCTTAAGAAAACTTAAATTTTCGGCCAGAGTCTCCATTATTCTTAATGTTTCAATGTAAATCCTAATGTTTGAATGGGAATTTTGGGTTTTATTCAAGTTCTGAGACTATGAATTTCTTAACCCATGATTTCTTAAGCATTTCGCAGGGTGTACGTCTGGGTTTCTTCCTCATCCTTGATCGTATTGTGTCGTCCTCCTTTCTGCGTCCAACGCATCCGTGGTCGTCCTGTTCAGTGCGCCCTGTTCTGCCGCGCTGGATGCAATGTTCAGCTGCTTCCCCGCCGGTGCCCTACGTGGCCGCCCCCTTGCGGGCATAAAGGCTTGACTTGACTTGAATTCTACATGCAAGCCCTCCAGGGCTCTTTGTGATTTGATTATCCGCACCGCTCGGATGTAAGACGCACTCCAGGACTCCAAGAGCCTTCAGGGGGATCGCCTGGGCGCATCAACGGCCTCAGCCAGGGGCTTCTGGAGGGAATCAGGGCCGCGGTTTCCATTCTGGGTGAATGGGGCACTTCTCGGCCGAAGGTCTGAGGATGAGGTAAAAGTTGAATTGTTTATACGTCCTGAATGTGATACACATGTGTCAGGGCTACTTTCCAAATGATGAGATGAACGGTCTTTCTATGCCGAGTCAGATGTCCACGACCTGCTGTGCTAAGTACTACTGTCTGTCTCTACCCACATCTCTTACTTATTGTCACAGGCCTGCCAATTATCGTAGCTTGCACCAAGATGCATGCGTAGGCTCTACTATCAACTTGCCTGTCAGCCAGAGCACCGTCGAGAGCCGTCGACCTCAAGAGGACCGACTCGCGCCACACAAGGTCTCCCACGCTGTGACTTTGGACGGATGGCTCACACTACTCTCCCGTCCTTCTGCCGCGACCCTGGCTGTCTCTGGGGCGAAGGTCTACCGGGGTCAGGCGTGTCAGAGCACGTCCACACCAACTTGCCGAGAAGGCTGCCTCGCGGTCCTTTCGTGGCCGAGCCGGGCAAACCTTGTTCTCACTGGCAGGAGGAGGGAGGAGATGAGGAGGGGGTGGGGGAGGAGGGAGGAGGGAAGAGGGGGGAGGAGGAGGAGAGGGGGACGATCGGAACGACTCGGCAGGAGGGAACCTCGAGAACCACAGCGCCGCAGAGGGCTCCTCGTGGAGCCACACGGTCAAGAATGAGCACGAGGAGAGACACCGTCATTCGAGATTCGTTCAGGGCGAGGTCTGGACATTTCAGGCGTTTCTTCACGGTGTCCGCACAGTCGGCGTGCATCCTCGCGGTAGTCGACATACCCAACCGGCCCTGCGGTAAGAGTCGTTGAACAAACCTATTGAAGCCATTCAGAATGACGATCTCGGAGCAGTTCACGCCTGAGGGGCAGCAGGAGTCGTAGATGATCGGCAGCCTCGTGTCACGGCCTTGGGGCGATTTTCCATCAGGGTCAGGCGTGTGAGAGCACGTCCACGCCAACCTGCCGCGATGGCCGCCTCGTGCCCCCTTGACGGCCGAGCCGCGGAGAGGGGAGGCGGAGGGAGAGGGGAGGGGGGAGGGAGGAGAGGAGGGGGAGCAGTGGGGAGGGGGAGACCCCCTCCTGCCCTCCTGCCCCCTTGCCACCCCCCTCCCTTCGATGGTCCTCTGGCTGTGTGTTAGCCCGCTGTGTGTTGACCACGCTCAGCTCCGCCGACAGTGCGCAGCGTGCGTCGGCCCTCACTACTCCGCCTGCGTCGTACTGAAGGGCTCCAGTTGACATGCGCACGTTGGCGCTAGCACTCGTTCCGAAAATCATCTATCCCCCCCTTCCTCCTCCTCCTCCTTCTCCTCCTCCTCCTCCTCCTCCTCCTCCTCCTCCTCTCCTCCTCCTCCTCCTCCTTCTCCTCCTCCTCCCTCCTCCTCCTCCTCCTCCTCATCTTCTTCCTCCTCCTCCTCCTCCTCCTCCTCCTCCTCCTCCTCTTCCTCCTCCTCCCCCCTCCCCGCGCGGCGCCAGGCCGTTGGCGTCGACCCGACGCGCGGCAGTGCCGAGGACGAGGCCTTCTGGACGGACATCCACGAGGTGCTCCTCGGCTCCCTCCGGCTCCTGCGGGCGACCAGCAGGACCTCGCCATGAATAGGGAAACAAACAATGACATAAATATAAAAACTCGGAGGTCCGCGCAGATTCTTCGGATCGGCGCTGGGACACCTTGGCGGCGCCTCGGGCGCCGCCCCTGGCGCGCTCCGCGCGCCATGGAGGGGCTCCAGCGCCGATCCGAGACATCCGCGCGGACCTCAGAGTCTTTATGTTTATGTCATTGTTTGTCCCCCTAATGAAGAAGAGGTGTCCTGACGGGGGAAGCGGGTCCGAAGTTTTTTGGCCGTTGTTGGGCTCCCGGGGGCTCGGGTAGCGTCGGAAGACTCGTCATCCGCAAACCCGGACCGGGACATGGTAGGCTAGCTCTCCCAGCGTACCTCCAGGTGGAGATACGTGCTGCGAATCCGAAGGACTCGGCATCTATTATCGCCTAGGGGGGTAGGTCTGCCAGTTGTGCCAAGGTTTTCAGGGTGGGGGTGGGGATGGTTTTTCTTGTCCTGACTTTCGGTTTTTGGCTGTTCTTGATTTCCTGCTGCCCTGTCCGGGCCCTGGGACCGTCAAAAATTGGCTCAGGATGACGAGCTGGTCTTGGGGAGACCTCCTGGGTCCAGAATCCGCTTCAGTCAGGATCCTTTTCTTTCATGCCAGAGGACTGTGTATCGAAGACGCCTCCGGCGAGCCTAGGCAATTCAGGTCACGGGCGACACGACGGTCGACATGGGGCGAAGTGCGTGTGGAGCGCTTTCGGAGGACCGGTCCCGAGGGGGCTCTGAAAGATATCAGTATGGTAGAGGCCGTGGCAAGTCCAGCACGCCAACCCTCGCTGTGGTGAATCAGAGATGAATCATTGGGGGCGGTGGATCCGCAGGGCCCCCAGGCTGAGCTATCGTAAGGCCATCTGGGGTGTCTTCGGGGCGGGGGATCCTGCAACCCTCGTCAACACGATCATACACTCTTTGACACCGGTGTTTGTACAGACCGCCACGCCAATGCTAGTACCAGATCGTTGGCTCGCGCGCAGGGGCACCCGAAATTCCCCCCCACCCCGTGAAGTGAGAAGAAAGCGCGCTGTGGCAAGCGCCCGAGAAATTCGTTTACGTTTCTGAACGTGCTGACGCTCCCGCCGCTGCAGAGACCAGTGCCCCCCCCAGAGGTTGTGTTGTCATTCATGGGAGCTTCAGAGGGTCCCAGAATTTCTTGCGGTCTGGGGGATTTCGTTTGGATCACGCCAGTTTTGGTCGACATCGGAACGAAATCTGGACGAAAGGGTGAAAAGGCGGTCGAAATTTGGACGAACTTTGGTCGAGATCACGTTCATGGTAGGGCCGCGGAGGTCCACAGAGGCTCCCATGACGGCTTACCCAACAGAGGGGGTTTGTGGACTTCATCAATTGTGCTGTTTTGTTCGCCGGCGGCCGCATCAGCACGAGCGCGCTGCGCTCGATGCTGCGGAAGCTCAGCTTTCTGGGCGGCGCGCTGGGCAGCGGCTGCGGCGGCGGCGGCGGCGGCCTGGGCGGCACGTGCGAGGTGGTGTTCTACGTTTCGAGGGCCCCCCCCGTGGAGGCTGGCAGCTTCGATGCCGCCGCCGCCTGGGCGGAGGCCCGCGCTGAGGTCCTGGCCTTTGCGCGCGATGAGCTCGGCGCTTCGGCGGCCGCCTCTGCCGCACGTACCCTCCTCAAGGCACCTCCGCCGAGCGTAGGCGTGTGGGAGCCCTGCGACGAGGGCCTCGACCTCAGCGCGCTCGAGGAGGTCGCCGGCGCTGCCGCGCTCGAGTGGCGCGCGGCCGAGGAGCGCTCCGGGCCGCTGCTCGCGTTTATCCGCGACATGGTCGCCAGCTTGGCGCTGCCGGCGCTCCGCTCGCGCCTGCGGCTCTGCGGCGTGTACGCGGCGCGGAGCCTTGTGGACGAGCTCGGCGACGCCCGCTCGGCAGCCCCGGGGCCCAGGGTCTCGGCGGGCCTGGCGCCGAGCATGGAGGGTCAGGGGTCGCTGTGCGCGCCCTCGGTGGTGCGAAACGTGGCGCGGCTGCTGCGGCGGGCTGGGCGCGAGGACCTGGGCGCGGTCGGCCCCGGCCACGGCCTGGTCCCCCATGTGGCGGAGCTCATGCTCCGGTGTTCGCTGCGGCTGCGTCAGGTGGAGTCGCCGGGCGGCGGTGCGAACACGGCCACGGTCGTGGGTCGCTGGGTCACGCGCTTCGATCTCGCGGAGCACCTAGAGGAGTGCGAGGCGGAACTCTCGGTGCCGCTGCCAGAGGTGGCGACGCTGCAGTGCTGGGAGGCCGCCGTGCTGGCGCTCGACCGCGCCGCAGTGTGCTCGCTGCTCGCTCCGGGCGGTGCTGGGCTGCCGAGTGTCCTGCTGGAACT